AGTAACATTGGTCGTGCAGACAGGGCAGAAGCAATTCCATAGTTGAGCGTGCATAGAAAAGCCAGTAGTAGGTATTGCTGCGGCTGTTGCTGTTGCCTCTTGTTCGTCAAATACGACCTGCAAGCTTGCGATGCTGTTCCGTCTCTACTCCCACTGCAACTCCTATCTTCCTGGCAAAACACTCCAGGCTCCTCTCCCCGGCAAACCATCCGGTTCTCAAGACCATGGACCCGAAGAGCAACTAACCCTAAACCCAGACCCTAAACCCGGAGATGCAAACCCGAAACCCTGCACCCTCAAATCCCAAAGCCGCAACAACTTGTTCTTTGCATTTGTTGTACACACATCATAAACATGCAAGAGCTTTTTGTCTTATAAACCACAGCAAACCCTTATTATGAAACCCTGCATGCAACAAAAGCTTATCATACCCCTGTAAGCACGTTTCTGAAAGCAAAGCCATCAACAACCTTTCAAGACGCTCAAACCGCAGAAACCCTCTAAAATCCTCAAACCGCGCCTGCAAGGATTCCTTGGAATAGTCCCTGGAGTACAGTCGACTCATCGATCGCGAGGAAGGCGCTTTCGACGAGCGTCGGGCCCACCTGCGAGTTTATGGGATTCCCGAAACAGTTCTCACAGGGTTTAGGGTTTAGGGTTACTAGCTTCATGTAGAGGCCTTTATAATTAGAATAGGGTTCCTTTAGATGGTTCCTGTATACAAGGGGGTTTTGGGGGGTTCACCCCAATTCCCTATTCAAATTATTAAGGCCGCTATATTCCCGCAAGGGTTCTTTCATAGGGTAGAGGTCGGAATGACTAGTAACTCCTGCTGAGGAGGGCTGATGGCGTAAACCTGAACCTTGAACTCCGGCAGTTTAGGGTGGCTTTCAGTAAGCGACGAGGGTTTTAAGGTTCGAGGAGGTTTCAGGGAGGCTGCTTAGTGTGTTGGGTTTAGGCAGTTTAGTGTTTAGGGTTGCTCGGCTTGGAGCAAATTGAACTGTAGTGTTTGAGCTAAGCTTGACTCCTAAGCTTGCCCATCCGGGAGTAGATTAGGTCGCTTAGAATCCAGAATCTTCGGAGGGTTCGGGCCTCAAAGGGCAAGTAAAAATCCCCAGACCCCCGTCTGTGCTCAGTGGGGGGTAGGGAAGTTTGGTCGCCTAACTTTCATCTTCAGATCCTGGAAGCCCCGGGTCTCAAACCGATTAACTTTGCAACCTTAATTCAACCTTAGTTGCTGAATTCATACGCCCCAAAGAGTGTACACTTTCCGTTTTATAGTGGGTAATATTATCCCAAAAAGTGTAAAGTGCATCCACTCAGCTACTAAGAAACTTCTGAAACCCCAAGCCGTTTAGGGCCTAGGGTTTCGGCCTAGAAACCTAAACCCTGGGCCCTACACCCTATTCTCAGCCCTTCCACAGCTTCGCCTTGCCTCAGAAGTCCCGAAAAAAGCCTGAGCCCAAGACCTTTAATGGACGTCTTTCCCTGGTCCTCCGGGAGCCCACCCTTCAAGGAGCCCTTAAAGGAAGCCTTAAAGGAGCATGTATGGGAACCTACATAGGAACCCTTCTGTGAAAGCCGTACAGGGACCCTTGTGCGAACTTGGCCTGTCTCGAGGCGGAGGAATCTCCTGCTTTCCTCGGTGAGGACCACGGACCGTGGACCGAGACAAGCAGAGAGACTTCACAAAGAGCGAGAAGAGACAGGTGCCTTAATAATTAGAACAGGGTTTTGGGTCCATTGTACTATAGTTAAGTATAGTTATAGAAAGGCAAAGCCCAAAATAGTATTGGTAATTAGGCCCCTATAGCAGAGACGGAGCGGGAGAGGGACGGGGAGGAGAGCGAGAAGACAACAAAACAGATTCTCCCCTCTTGGAGCTCCGGGTTCGACCGGCATCGTAGGCCTATGTGATCTCTAGGGCTCTAGGGTATACGGTATGAAGTGCAAGGACCTTGGAGCATCTGAGCATCAAAATGTGCAGGAAGCGCTTGGCTCCGAAGATTCTCAGATCTTCCGCTCTGCCAAGCGCTGTCGTCTGCGAAAAAAGCATGCATAGTTTCAACACAATGCCGAGTAAGTAGGTGGCTACGACTGGGTCCGCAGGTACCCGAAGTGGGGTTTTCCTGCTGACAATTTCACTCACAACCTACTTCCTAAGCTCCCCTTCCTTCAGCGTCTGTGTTTGCGACGGAGCTATTGGGCCTGAAAAAGAAGCACGACAGCACTTCAGCTTTCAGGATCTACTTTAGGGATTCAAGGTTTGGGGCTATTCAGTGGATCTACAGTGCACCCTGCCTAGAATGCTAGAAATCCGCAGGGGCGCTGTCCGCGCTCATGCTGTTCATGGCTGCGGATTTTGGATACGAGGTCGCGAGGGTTGCGGAACAAGTCCAACTGCGACATCTTGAAGGATTACTACTGTACACTCATTGCACTGAAGCCAGTAGCACCTACGAACCCCCCATCCATTGCAAATCAGCACGTGCCCGTTGAGCGGAATGACACTAGAGGACTGGAACTACCCGTCAAGACGCCGTAAAACCCACAACACCTGTTACGCCCTGATAGCCCGTGCGAACATCCAAGACAAGCGTCGCAGCTCATCGAAGTCAAAGCCTTGTTCCTCAAACCTTGGCGGTCCAGGGCTGCAGGGAGCTGCTTTGAGGGATTTATGGGTCTATGGGCCCAGGATCGAACCTCAAGTGTGCTGCGAAGGTCCGTATAAAATCGCAACCTTCAGAAAGAACAAGAAGAACGAGAAGAAAGACAGTGATGATTCGGATGGCGGTCATCATGCAGATGCGGGTGATGGTGATGCCGATATTGACGTTGATGCGGATGCTGACGCTGATGATGCTGACGATGCAGACGATGCTGATGATGCTAAGAGGAGGAGAGGAGGAGGGCGAGGACGAGGAGGAGGAGGAGGATGAAGATGGGCATGAGGACGAGGACGGGGATGGTGATGAGGATGAGAATGAGGACGGGGATGGCAATAAGAGTAAGAAGAAACTATAGTAGTATTGATACTGCTATCATGTCTGGCAGCAACAACAACCAGGCGTCAACTTTGCAAGCAAAACGGCAATGGCATTTTGAGGAATAACACTGACGGCGCGCTGAACAACCTATAGCAACTATGACGATGAGAACAGTAGTAGCCCTAAGCCCTACGCCCTGAACCCCACATCCCTCGCCCGAAACCCGCAAGCCCTAAACTTTACGGCCCTCCGGCTTCTAGGACCTTTGCAGAAATCCGTACAGAACGCTTACAGCCCTAACTCCCCAAACCCGCAACCCTAAACCCTCAACCCTAAGTCCCTTTCTCCTGTCCCTGGAATCCTTGAAGGATCCTACTTCCCCTAAGCCGTTTTTGTAAAACTTATAGCACCCTTAAAGGAATCCTTGAAGGATCCTACTCAGAGATCCCAATACCCCTGGATTATGGAATGTACCTTAAATCATAATATTGTGGCCCCTATCATTTAAGGTATTTTCCTTGGTATTGGAAACTCTGGGTACTTCCCACCCTTGGAGCACCCTTAAAGAACCCTGTATTCAAGGATCCTACTTCCCCCAAACCCGCCGGGTCCCGGACCACTTGTGGCCTCGGACCTGCTGAGCTCCGCCGGAGCCGAGCCGCCGGTCCGGCGAGGGGGTCATGAGGTCCTGGGCGCTTTCGGGAAGGGGTTTAGGGTTTTAGGGCTTAGGGTTTTAGGGTTTAGGGTTTTAAGGTTTAGGGTTTTAGGGTTTAGGGTTTTAGGGTTTAGGGTTTTAAGGTTTAGGGTTTTAGGGCTTAGGGTTTTAGGGTTTAGGGTTTTACGGTTTAGGGTTTTAGGGTTTAGGGTTTAGGTTTTCGGGTTTAGGGGTTTAAGGATTTCAGGGTTTCTGGATTCGGGCTTTCAGGGTTTAGGCTTTAGGGCTTTTAGGGTTTAGGGTTTAGGCTTTAGGGCCTGGGCTTTTTTGTATTTTATGGTTAAGGGGAGTTACGGGCTTAGGATTTAGGGTTTAGGGGTTTAAGGTGTAGCGTCATGAGGTCCTGGGCTGTTTTGTAGGCCTGGAGGAAGTTGCGAAGGCATGTCGTGGTTCATGGGCTATATTAAGGCTTCTCCGAGGGTCACATGAGGCTTGAAGCTTTTTGGGTGCTTCGAGGTCCGGGGGCGGGAGGTTTGGGTTTGGGGGCTTGAAGGTTTCGGGCTTCATGCGGGCGGGTGAGGTTTATGGTGTTTGGCTGCATTGAGGGTAAACTAGCGGATTTCAGGGCTCAGGTATTCATGGATTCCATGCATTCAGGGTGTGAGGTCCGGGGGTTTCGAATTTGTGGCCTTCGGGTTTTGGGGGCTCAGGATTCGCAGTCTCCGTAAGGATTCGGTGGCGTTGGGCTTCTGAGGTTTGAGATTTGTCTATAGTGACCGTACCAGCTCTAATAGTGTTCCGGAAAATCCAATTATCCACAATGGAGATTTCTTCAGCTGTGGCCAGGAAGCCACCGTGAAGCTCATCGCAGCCTCGGGCGCGGAGTCGCAACGCGCAGCAGAGAGAGGCGAGGGGTCTCAACAATCCGAGGTCGCTTCTGCAGATGCTCCAGCACAGCTCCACGAAGAACAAAACCCCAAACCCTGAAAAATGAACCCTAAACCCTAATCCCTTCCGATCCCGTGCTCCTAGGCCCCAAACCCAGACCTGAACCACAACCTGTAACACTCTAAGCCGGCATCCAAATCAGCGTTTCGGGCTTCAAGGATGTGTCATTACAACCTGGAAGTCATGTGGCAAATGCCCGTACGTCTTGAATGACGAATGAAGCAGTGATCCGATGCCAGTTTGGCTGCAACCATGTATGCCGCAGCATCTCCCGTTAATGCCGAAGACCCGCTCACGAAAATCTTTGTGCTTGAGAATGAACAAGGGGTGGGTGTGATGGCTGGCTTTCGGTCATGACATCGAACTGTCTTTCGAGAAGGTGCTGGCCAACCGGTACGACGACCGTCCGGCTACGGGCTGACGACATCTCTGCGGCAGGGATCTTTGGCGTTAACTGAAGCTACAATCCGCCAAACAAGTCCGTTGTAGGTCTTCATGGTCTCCAATGACTCTTTCCGGGCGTACTGCTGCATGGCTTTGAAGACATCACCCTTTGAAGCGGACTTCGGCAACAACCGGTGCTGCAACAGTAGTTGGCGGACGTTCCGGTCCGATGGCGCCTGCTGCCATGAGCCATCTACCCCGCTTGACAGGAATGCCTGCCTCAGCGTAGTGGCCATCGCGGAATCGGCATCTCTCAAATCAGGGATGGCTCCAATCGTTCTCAACAGTCTCTTGTTCTCCGAACTATTCACGAACACCTGCAAAGCCTCTACAAGGTCTGAGTTGAAGCTGTCGTCCAAGTAGCCCAGCTTTCGCAAGATTCGCTGTGCAAGGTCTGGGGAATCTTCTATCATTGAAGGACCTGGTCCTTTCGCAATTTTGCTTGCTCGCGCCCCTCCAAGCTGCCGTCTCTTCAGCTTGGAGCGCGGTGCCGTTCCCATGGGAAAGAGGAAGGCCAAGGTTCCAGGATCATCGGTCCATTTCGCTGCAGGCGAGGCTTGTCGAATTGTCTTGTACAGCGCCTGAATGGCGCACTGGTTGGGAAAAACTGTAAGATCGCCCAAGGAGTTTGCGAACCAAAACTTGGCTATGCAAGGAATCAGCCTGGCACCCTCGGGTGGCCTGTAGGCGTGCTTTGTCAGAAAATTGCAAAGCATCTCCGTCTCACGATTCAGCGATGCTGCCTGCTGCAGTGGGTCACACTGCTGCAGGCAGCCATGACCGTCTGCATGGAGAGTTGCCTTGACAGTGTACGCGATGTCATGGGTTCTTCTGATTGGGATGACAGTGAGGCCTGCGTCTTCATACCTCATGATAGTGCTCCGCAATCCCTCCGGTATAAAAACGCGCACATCTGTACCGGAAGTCCTTACTTGCACTAAGGACTCCACAAAGTCGGTATCCGAAGTCAGCACTGCGATGCAGTCGACAGTTGGGTCCAATGCCAGCGACTGTATGCAGCCAATTATCATATCATCAACGGGATCTCTTTGCGTCCCCGTAGGCGAAACTGGATGAAAAGCAAGGTCATGTTCTTCGAAGAACCCCTTCCATTTCTTCAGTCTCTTCGCTGCAAAGACTTGTCCACGAAAGGCGCGGCTCCAAGACTGCACGTTAGAAAGCACCTGCTCAATGTGTGCTTGATTGTGGACATCTGCGTCCACTAACAGCTCCGTGAAACTTGCGCTAAACGAGCGCGAGCGCTTGGCCGAACAACATACCAAACACGCACCACGCACTCTGGGAACTTCGCGCAGCTTGATCGCAGATGCTCTTCTCAGTGACACCAGCACCGCCAGCAATCCAGAAGCTGGAACTGCGTTTGGGGAACTCCTTCTGCCACAAGCCATGTTCTGGCAGAAGAATCTTAGTGTTTCGGTCTGCATGTTGTAGCCGCAACCGCTGGAACATGGTACCGTCGACTGTGGGCTGGGAAGAGGCAGGCTCTTCCGATGATTCAGCCAGGTCATAGGCCCAAAACGACTGATGTCCTCCATCATGCACAGAACCTACAGCTCCGTTGCGAGAGGGTCTCTAAATACACATTCAGAACCACACAGTCCTCACATGTCAAGATATACTGCATGACCCCACATGGCTCAGCACTGTCTGCTGGAGCGTGCTATCATGCTGCACTGCACCATGGAGCCGAAATTCCACAACAACGGCGGTCGGACACGGGGAACGGTCCCTAAGTCTGACCCTACAACTTGCTTGCCCGGAAGTTAACCTCCTGCGGTAAAAACTCTGTGGTACCGTTACATTCAGAGGCAGGGCATTGCTGGCTTCAAGGTATGCACGTCGGACAGCAAGGTCTTGGTCAGGAGCTCTTTGACTTCTATCGCCAGTTTGGCAGCTTCCCCCTCATATCCGAAACCTGCACCAAAGAAAGCTCCTGGAATCGGCACCCTAACTCTGCGGACCGCCCATACGACTAGGCCAAGGAACTTGAGGTGTCTCCTCGGCTGCCAAAAATTCTTGGAGGATTGGATTTGAGTTCAGGGTTGCGGCTTTTGGGGTTTGCGATTTAGGGTTAGACGACTAAGGATATATGAACACCATAGAAGCTTTCCCAGAATGCACTGTACAGCAAGGCAAGCAGCACGGTTTGGGACATGAGCTAATCACTGATTTGGAGATTACGTGAAGTTGGGGGTTTAGGAGTGCAGATGTTATCGGTTGCGCACTGAGTAAGGTCTGCGTCGTAGGATGGCCGCACTCTTGGCTCAGCAGCTCTGGCGTAGATTCTTCGATTTGGGTTCCTGACGTGGGAAAACCACTACTCAGTGGCCATCTTCGATTTTCTCAGGCTCGGGTTTCTCGAGCCACAAACAACACAGACAAGTGCAAACATGATACGGAGACAGCTACACTGACTTACACCAACTGACACCAACGTGGGTGATCTCAGTAGACTTTCTATGCCCCCAATGAAGTTGGCAACAGACTTCTGAATCGTATAGCCCTGACAGCCCTTCACCCACAAAAACCTTAGTCCGAAAATCCTAGACCCTACCTAAACTTCCAAGATCCCCTCCACCAAGCGGCCCGTGGAAGATCCCTTTGGGGAAATGGCTTGGCCTCCGCACGAGGTGGTTCGGTTCAGGGTTTATGTTTAGGGCTTCGGGTTCAGAAGGTTCTGTGGGTTTAGGGTTCAGGGCTTATGGTTTAAGGCTACGGGAAAAGTTTGGGATGTTGGCGTATTTTGTATTCAAGCTTTCCCGACTGAGCCCTAAGATAATAGAAACCCTGAGAGGAACCCTTAGCAAAACCCTGTGAGGAAGCCCTAGAGGAACCCTGAGAGGAGCCCTTTGAAGGAGCCCTTAGAGGAACCCTCAGAGGAGCCGGCTCAACGGAAGGTCTCTTGATGTTGGTTCGGGTTTCGGGTTTGGGGTCTCGTAGGACTGTCGGATGTCGGATGAGGGAGCTTGCAAGACAAAAGGGCTTAGGGTTTAGGGTTTAGAGTGGGACACAAGGGCTATCAGCTTGTAGGCGTGGCTTTCAAATGTTCGGCTCTGCATCATCTGTCAATTCTTGGAAAAGGGCCCCACCCCTAAACCCTGAACCCGAAACCCTAAACCCCAAACCCTAGACCCTAAACCCCAGACCCAGCCTAATCGCCAACTCACCCACAAGGGAATCACAGAGTAGAAACCCGGGCCTGCTGGCTGCGCCGAACGGTGTACGGTGCATCTGCCTGGCGGCAGGGTTACCGTTCATGATATGAATCCTACATTACCCTTAATAATAAGGATTATACCACATTTCCTATAGTCTAGGGTCACTAAGGTAATTTATATCATCAACTGTATAGGGGTCTCAGTACTTAGGGTTTATGGGTTGACGGGTTTTTTTTTTTTTTTAAGGTGTAGTGGCCCTTTCTCCGCTGGCAGCAGGTCTGAGTGCCGGCCTCCAAGAGGCGTACACCAAAACAGACAGAAAAACCCTCGCTTAGTAGTGCCACGCTCATAAACACACTCACCGAAGCCGGAGACGAGGTCAAGGCGGAGCGTTACAACGAGCCATCGCGGCTGCGACTTCTCTCACGATGCCTATCACGACCTCCCCGTGTACGTTGACGACGAGCTCGAACCGCGCGACGACGGTCAGAACGCACAGCTCCATGACGTCGTCTTGTCCCTACTCCACCTGCCGCTCGAAGAGGTACTCCCGGATGTGCAGCAACCGCAGAACGGCGACGGAGCCCAGAACGCCGACGGAGTCCAGCACGGTGAACTTCGGCAGGAAGTGCAGGTACTTCAGAAGGAGCAGCCCCAGGTGTTGCAGACGCCTGTGAGCCTCCAAAGGCAACCGCTCCCTCCAGCAGCACGTTTGTACCTGCTGGGACCAACAGAGGGTCTGGTCGAGGGACGTGCTGACGACGACGAGAGCCACTGCGCGCATGTTCACGAGCGGAAAGAGGGCGCGGTACCAGTGGCGGCCAGTTAGACACGTTCAGCTCCGGGTCGGTCTGAATGAGGTAGAGGTCCTCATCAGCCGGGCTAGGCCAACGACCACGAGGGACGTCACGTCCACTACGCTGGAAGAGGTCCTCCATATAGTGCCTCCAAGCCCTGCGGCGAAAGGATGCCCACGCGTGTTCTGGAAGTCCCGGGAGTGCTTGCTCCACTGCAGGCAAAGTCGACGGGAACCCCGGTTGGAGGAGAACTGCAGGTGAGTTGACCCAAGTTGACGACACCCCCTCTGACGGACGAGAACCACGGTCAGCTTCACGAACAATGGCCTCCCAGATGCGGCGCTCATGCACATTTGCATTGAGAGGTAGAGCAGGCGCAGGTACATGCAGCCAACGTAATGCCTCATCCAAGGCGATCTGCGTCAGGTGAAGCAGTCGATGTAGTCGCCGCTGGTGGACCAGGAGTCGCCTCAGGAGTTCAGGAACATCCGCCTCCGCAGAAATCACCAGTTGGTGATTGACCGCATCACGGACTGCGTCTTCCGTGGTGAGGTGTGTCGTTGTCGTGGACGTAGAGGTAACCGTCAGGAGCGAGCAGCTGCTCGAGGAGCTCGGCGGGGCACACCACGGGGTAGACAAAGTGCAACACAAGGGCAAAGATCTCCACCATGATGACGAAGTGCAGCAGGTCGAAGAAGAACTCCACAGAGTGGTCGGGGCACCGGTAGAGGTCGTCGTAGAGAGCGAGGCGACGCCACAGGAGGTCAACCCATATTGCATGAGGACACTCTCATCCCAGTTATCACCATCAAGTTCCGCTGTGTGTGGTCCAGGAAGCTGGAGCCCAGCGGAGGTCGTAGAAGTCGTAGTGGACGACGAACTGGGAGGGCACATGGTGATGGGATTTCCTGAGCCGGTTGGAGACGGTTCTGGTAGAGTTGTATTCTCCTCCGGTTCACGCCAGAGGCCTTGTAGGTCAGTAGGAGCAAGATGAACCGGGAAATCAGGCGGGATAGACGAGGCCGACGTACCAGTTTCTTCCATAGCCACTGCCTCCACAACATCATCCAAGTTGACTTCACCCCTAATCGATGGCCTGGGCGAACGACTACGATTGCGGTGCAAGCTTCCCTCGTTGCTGGAGGAGCTCACCTCTCCTTCATGGGGTTGCAGAGGAGTACGTAGGTGATTTTCAAGATTGTCAAGAAAGATCGGGATGAATTGTCGAACCCAGGCGAAAATTCTCCAGCGCAGCTGCTCTGTACGCGGGACCCTGGTCACAGGTAGGAGTCCACGAGGCAGAAGGCGACGCCTGAGAACTTGAAGGATTGCTTGCTGGGCGTCCGCTCCTTCTTCCGCTCTTTGCACATATCGTTCGAAGGCCCAGCGGCTTTCAGGGCCAACGCCAGCACGTTCTTGGCGATCCAGGGAATCTAACATGTCTGAGATCCTGCGAATATGTGCTTGTGAGACTCCATACTCTTGGAGGGTAGCGATTTCACCGTTAGTGATACTCATCCTCCCATGAGTGTCTAGATCGATGGGGAAGACGTCCGGGAAGAGGCCTGCATTGGGGGGCAGCGCCGGGGGCATCTCAACCTCATTCAGTGTACTGGTAGAAGTCGTAGTTGTGAAGAGGGACAGCGACTGGCCAAAGTCAACCCATAGCCGGATAGATGTCCCAGAGAAAGTCACCCCACCAATGTGACCACGTACAGTGCCATTGATTGTAGTGGTGGAAGAAGAGGTTGAAGAGCTCCAGGACCACCATTCCCAACTGTTGTCCTCCCTCCAGGTCCAGGTGTTCTGGTTGTCCCCAGACTCCCACCAACCAGTCCAACTCCAGTCCGTCGTGGTGTCATCCATCTGTGCCGGTGACTGGTCTGCCATCGCTTCCGACGAGGACGCCGAGGGTGTACAGGGAGGATTCAAGGTCGGAGTGGATGAAGACGGTTCGGTAGCCATCGCCGCCTGGCGTGCTGCCTTGTCCCGCGCATATTGTTTCAACCAAGCCGGTTTCCATGTGCCTGCCATATAATCAGCCATGCGGGCTGCTTTACGTTCAGCTCGAACCGAGCCTCCACCACCTTGGTGAGCGCGCAGCTCTGCTGCGGTGCGGGGTCTGGGTTGCCATACACCATGACGATAGAATCCAACATCGGATGAGCTCGCCGATCCAGAGGAGGACGACCAGCCCTCTTCGGAATCTCCAAGACTACCATCACCAGCTGTGGTACTGGTGTTATCCATCGGCAACGAAGAGGTTGCAGAAGCCCATACCTCGAAAGGATCACCATAAAAGGTGCGAGCTTTAAGAGCGGGGCCTTCAGGATGTTGGACAACACCCTCAATGCTGAACGAAGACGCGGGAGGTGCGGTAGGTGACTGGTTGATTTCCCCTCCTCGTTCGCGAAGGCGGCAGCGCACTGAGCCATTAGGGTGATGCCACCGATCCACCCCTGGTCGTTGGACACCCCAACGTTGTGTAATCCCAGCCACAGGCGACGATGACTGCGGACCATTATGGTCTGGTACATCCACAGTGGTACTCGGAGTCGCCGCGTTGGTTGGTACTGGAGGTGACTGCGAGGGCTCAGCATTGGTAGGAGGGTCTCCTCGTAGTAGGGTTTAGAGGTTAGGGATGTAGGGAAAGGGGTCTCAATAACTGGATGCAGGTTTAGCCCTTAGGGTTTAGGGGTTTCGGGGCTTTGGGGGTTTAGGGGTTTAGGAAAATTGGCCTCAATATCTAGAATTCTGACTTGTCCCGTATCCTAGAGGAACCGACGGTTAATCAGCCCTTGGGACTATACAGGTGACATATTACCCCCGCAAAGGTTACAGGTTTCGTACCCTACTCCTAAGATAAGGTGTTGGGGACTGTAAAGTACGGCTCGGGGAAGGGGAGCCCTCTGCCTTGAAAAATGCCTTTAGGGTATACTGCACAGATTCTTACAGTGCTTCGTTTAAGTAGTGTTGATATCGTGCCAAAAACGGCAAGAACCAGCTCTGTTTCCCAAAACTGGCCTGCGTGTCTCCGGCGTGCCAAGGAGTCTGTCCGGACCTGTGGGGCTTGAAAACTTTCGGGTTTGGAGGTGAGGGTTGGGCTCTAGGCTATGGCTTTTCGGTAAAGGGCCCCGGGCTCAAGGATAAGACTTTCGACTGTTTAGAGCTTAGAGCTTGGAGTTTACACTTGGGTTTCAGCTGCTTTGGAGGTGTACAGCAGTGCAAAGTTTCTTGTTCACGGGTTGCTGGCACAACCCTGTACAGCTCGAAGTAGAGACTTCGGTGCTTGAGGCTACGGGTGTTAGGCTGGCTTCAAGCTGAGGTGAAGCGAGCTAGCGGTAACCCCAAAACCCTGAACCCAACCCGAATGGGACCCCACTTAAGCCCTACACTCTTGCTTCACTGTAGCTGAATGTAAAGCTGCTCCAACGAGGTTTGTAAATCGACATCTATGAGCCGGGCATACACGGCACGCAACTGCCAATTGAAGGCTCCGGAAACTTAGGGACTGCGGTTTGTGCTCAGATACTCCAAAACCCCGTAACTACGGCATCTACCTGATATCATGCGACGGATTCTTCCGAACTTCAGGTGCATCCTAGACCGCAAACCCGAAGCCCTAAGCTCCTAAATCCGAGGCACATGAGCTCGAACGTGAGCCCTTATAGTAGCTCTTATAGCTCTTCTCGAAACCTTATAGCCCCCTTATCGAACCCGGTATAGACCCCTCATAGATCCGACTAAATCCGAGGCGCATCAGCTCGAACATGAGGACCCCTAGAGCCCACCAGTCCACCCGCTGGTCGTGCTCGTGGGGAAAGTCTAAGAGTTCCGGGGCCATGTACTCCTTCAGGGATTGAGGGGGTGTAGGGGTTTAGGGGGATTTGGGTTCTACAAAGGCGTGAACCCTAAACCTAAACCCGAAACCCTGTGTTAAGAGCTTTGGGCGTGGTGGATTGTTCTGGGTGTTGCATCGTCTCGCGAGGGTTGTACCCCATAGTGCTTTTTACAGATAGCTTTTCGGGTCCTGCCTATGCCGCAGAGTTTCGGGTTGAGGGCTTAGGGTTTCGGGCGTACTCCTTGTATATCCCGTTTGGGATGTGTGAACATCTATGCAAAGGTTCTACTGAGCACTAAAGTCTGTAAAAGAAGGATCGTACCATCCAAGGTCCTTTCACTATCTTTCACTCCTCAGCTGGGGCCTGGTGTGGTACAACGGAGCTTGGTGTGAAGAGTTTCGGGCCGAGGGCAGCACCCATCACCTAGCTTTCTTAAAGTGCCCTGCAGCCAAAGAACCGCAACATACGCCTAAGACGAAACCCCACCGTCAACCCAAAGACCTGAACCTTCAACTCCTCAACGTTTCAAAGCCAACACTCGTGACCCTACACCCGAAGCTCCAACCTTTGAACCCTCTTGGGTTTAGGGTTTAGGGTTGATGTAGGCGCCCGAGTTATTGGACTAACTAAGTATGCTGTATTTGCATGGGGGAATCCTATGCAATAGTAGTACTGATTGCCACGGCCCCTGCATGGGTAGCTCTCTAAATTGGGATCCCTTTTAGGATCCTTTTACAGGGGTGCTTCCTTCTTTTGGGGTTCCTGAAAACGGACCTTAACTTGGCGAACTATACACCTGTCACACCCCAACTTTTTCGACAAAGGCACAGGAGTCCCCAGGAAGGTGTAAGTCTTCCGGAGCACGAACCGTGCAAAGCCCAGATCGCAAATCTTGGCATAGCCCCTGCAAGGCTTTAAGGTTAACGTCAAGGCTTTGGTTTTAGGGGTTTTTTGAGTTTTGAGGGTTTGAGGATGTGAGGCTGGATGCTAAGGGCTTAAGAAATTTATGGCGGTTGCAGTTAAGGCTGCATCTTGTCGCATGAGCTGCACAAACCGCGAAAGCAGAACGAATTGCTCCATGCCGAGTCCATCTTGGATCAGCACAAGAACATGCCATCGTCTAGGAGCTCGAGATCCTAAACTGAGGCGCGTGACAATTGTAGCAACCTCTGAGCCCTGAACCACACTAACTCCTCTAGCAGTCCGCCTGTGAAACAAAAGCCGCATCGAACAGTTCCAAGGCACCCTTTCGCAGCAAACCCCAGAAATCTAAACACCCGAACGATTCTAAAAAAAAACAAACCGAAATGTACCAAATAAGCTCTAAGAAACCCTTTACAAGACCGAAAACGGCCTCCCGTCCAAGAGCACGTTGCCAGGCTTCAGATCTCCTTCGCTGGTTAGGATACTCCTACTGCATTCCTACTGTAAGGTTTCGGGGTTTGAAGTTTAGGGTCTGGGGTTTGGGGCTTTAGGGGTTTAGGGTTTGGGTTTAGGGCTACTGTAAGGTTTAGGGGTTTAGGGTTTAGGGTTTGGGGAATTAGGGAATCAAAGGTTAAGGGTTTAGGGGTTTAGGGGTTTAGGGGTCTAGGGGTTTAGGGATTTAGGGGTTGGGGTGTGGGCTTTAGGTTCTGGGCTTAGGGTTTGTGATTTAGGGCTTGTTTCTATTCCTATGATAGTTTTACTGTGCTTTTTTATGTGGCTTCGGGTTTCTCCGTACATACACGCCGAACCGGAGACCCTTGAAGTAACAAAAAAAACAATCCTCAACCCTAAACCCTAAACCACCTCAAGGAGCGCTCCCTAAGCCCTAAATCTTGAATCCTAAACCCTGAATCCTAAAGCCTAAATCTTGAATCCTAAAGCCTAAAGCCTGAATCTTAAAGGCCTAATGTCTATAGCCTAAACCCTAGCCCGTAAAGCCTAATGCATAAACCCTTAAATCCCTAAACCCTAAAGCCTAAAGCCTCAACCCTAAAGCCTAAACCCTTAAACCCCTTAAGTAGCTCTGATCGTTTCTTCCGGGCCGCGGTGGGCGATCTTCCGCTCGTGCAAGTGGCCCAGGCCCTCGACGATGCAGGCGGCGTAGAAGGAGAGCTCCTGTCAAAAAGAGTTTAGGAGCTTAGGGGTTAAGTTTTGTTTTGGGTTTAGGGCTTGGGGGTTTAGGGTTTAGGGTAGAAGGAGTGCCCCTGTCAATAAACCTTCGGGGATTCATAACAAGGGATCTAGAATAAGGATTACTTTAAGGGCTAGTATCCTGTTAAGGTAGTTTAGCGTTTGGGGCTGCAATACGGGAACTACATTATGGGATCAATCAATAAAGGACCCCAAATAAGGTCCCTTATCAAAGTCAAGGGTTACTAAAAGGGGGTTTACTGTAAGCACTATACTAATCACCACTACTCCAGCCAATTCACAAAACATGCTGGACGATGTATCCCTTCCCAGTCTGCTCAGCTGTAATTCGACTCTAGGTTTTGCTTTAAACTTTGAACTAGGGAACACGGTAATCCAGACCCCGATACCTCAACCCACAGCCCCCAAAATCCCTAAATCCCCGAACCACCCGTAATACCCTCAGGCTGTTTCACCTCGGACCACCGCTCCATGTTGGCGGCGGGGTTGGCCCTCCGATGGCCGATCCTTGCGTTGTCAACGAGGGCTCCATAAAGGGTAACGGGCGCCTTCAAGGCATCTGCGTACAGGTTGGTCTAGGGTTCTTGGGCTTTGGATTTAGCCTGTTTGGGTACTGGGGTTCTATAATGGGCTCCCCTACGGGTGCGAGAAAGGTCCGTTTGGGGCTTTGGGGTTCTAAGGTTTTGGATTTAGCATTTTGGGGTCTTGGGGTTTGAAAGTTTGGGGCTTTAGAGCTTAGAGTCTCGAAGGGCGTGTCGTACATGTCCATAAAAATGGTTCATAGCACTTCCTAAACTTATGTGACCACGCGGAGCCCATACTAAAGGTCTGAAAAACTAGGGACAGCCGGGAATGCAGATCATTACATGGCGGAGATCCTGTCCAAAAAGGAACCTACCTACCTTATGTTCATGAGCCTCATGACAGGAAGTTTGCACGAATACCTGACTCTCACGAGGCCGGGAATGTTTCGGGTTTAGGGGTTTGGTTTGGGGGTTTTGATGGTCTAAGTCTAGACGTTCGCTGTTTTGGGGGCTTTGGCCTTCGGGCAATTCTCCGCAAAAGACCGAAGAAGAAAAGCCTACAGCCCAAACCCGAGAAGAACAAGCTGAAGGACCGAGGAACACATCTTCCAAAGAGCCTCCCTCGGCACACTCGATGAGCATGTACCTGAGCAAGATAAGGGCCTAAATAATTACCAAAACCATGTCGGGGTTCCTTATCGTTCGGCTTCTGGGAGATTGTCGGAAGCGGAAGTGAGGGTTCAGAGCTATGGAAATGGGGTTTCAGGTGCATGGTCAGGATCTACCGTTGGGGCGGGGGCGTGGAAACTTGCTTTCTGGCGAAACATAGACCCGAATGCTAAACTCAAAACCCAATTTGCACAGGTTTTTTGGTGTACATTATGTATTCCTGTACAACCGAAAGGGGCTTTTAGTGAGATTATTGCTAACCAGCCCAAATCCCGACAAACGCCATGAAACCCTCTTGATGGATACCCAACACCCAAAAAAACTTCAATGCCCCTTTGGGGGACACTGCCACTAATCACTCGCAGCCCTACGCCTACTTGGCTGGGAGCTGAAGGTTTTGGGGTTCCGGTTTCAAGGTTGAGGGCTTAGGGTTTGAGGGTTTGGGGTTTTTGGGTTCAGTTTAGCGTTTAGGGTTTCGGGTTTAGGGTCAGGGTTTAAGATTGAGGCTTTGGGTTAAGGTGTAGGGTTTAGGGTTCCGGGTTATATATTTTGGGCGTCAAGCCCCTGCGTACTTTTAGCAAACGACTGGGTGAAGGTATGAGCCTTGCCTTTCCAGCTTAGAGCGCTGAAACAAGTCATCGGCCAGATATCACTCGATCCTAAACCCCTGCGAATCGAACTGCTCTACGCAGACCCTAAACCCTAAACCCAGAACGCTGAACCCTAAACCCTAAACAGTCCCAGCAACACGAAGAGCTCGTCCCGGTAGGAGGCATGCAGGTGCACGATGAACGGGCTGTTCGCCTGCAGCGTTTGAGGAGGGTCTCGGACGGTTTACGGTTTAGGGTTCAGGGGTTTAAGGTTTAGGATGAGGGCTTGACGTGGAGGGCTCACACCCTAGGGTAAACCCCAAAAAGGTGGAAACTGTAGTAAGGACAAATAGTGCTAGGATTCCACATACATTTCTCTTAAGGATTGAGGCTACTGGGTTTCCAACTTTTCGGCTCCTACCTTGGGCCCTAAACCCTTCAAGGAAACCCCGTGCCCAAAGCCACTCACCCCTAAACCCTAAATCGTATGCAGAGCCGAAGGCCTGCTCCGTGTATCATCGAATGCTTATGAGGTTTCCAAGGGTTTCAGTTGAGTGCGGGGGCGCCTGAGCAATAGTTGTGCTCTCTGGTCGAAAACCGGTTAGAAGTGAGTTGTTTGACACAGTGCCGCATTATTCTACAGATCATATAAGGTGGTACTGACATTAAATGGTAAATACTCTAGCACGCAAACAACCATGGTAAGGGTGATGTTCATGCAAATCATTCCCGTAAAAAACTCAAGGAGTACTTGCAAGGTTCCAAATCCCAAAGGTTGTTAAAGGCTTCTGAAAGCTGGACGACCCTACCATGCAGGGGCCACGCAAAACCCAGACCGTAAACCTTCAAAGGAATAATGCTAAGAAGTACTGAGGATCAAACAACACGCGAAGGGTTTTAAGTATGGTTGTAACGGCTCCTGTTGCAGATGCTGTATGTTTTGGTAGGTCGAAGAAACCGAGGTTGGCCACATGATAAAGCCTTTTTACAAAGATCCCCCTAGGCCCCAGTGGGGAAAAGGCACCGAGGAACGCATTATCGGGATGAGCCTTCAGATAATCGTCTACAAAGAGGACCTGGATAGAAGTTTACCGAGCCTTGACTAGAGATTAGGCTTCGGGGTCCCGGTGGCTGTGGATTTAGGGTTTTGGGTTTTGGGTGTAGGGCGATCCAAATTCAGGTTTAGGGTTTGGGGGGTTTGAAGGTCCAGGGCTGGGATCGGGTCGTGCGGAACCTATCGGGAACTACTTGAGGCTGATAGTGTAAAGATGAAGGGTTGAAGGCTAAGCAAAATCGGCAGGAACTGTAGCATGGCAAGTGGCCATAGCGTGCAAGTTTCGCTCATTCCGGATATGCAGCTCCACTCCGTTCAAGCGGATGCCTGATTTCGGATCTAGGATAGGGTGAACAGTCAGTTAGGGATCAGGGCTTCTTTAAGGGTGCCTTTAAGGGTTTCGTTGAGGCTTCCGTTAAGGATACTATGAGGCTTTTGGGGTGCGGCTGTAGAAGCAATTGGGGCATTTCCGGACGATGGCTCGGCGTGACCCCACAAAACTTCTGGTAGGGAATTCTATACTATAGGGGCCTTGATAATTGAGAATTTAAGGTTTTGGGGCCATTTCTACTATAATGATAATAAGGACCCCCCAAAATAGTAGTGGTAATTATTAAGGCCCCGATATTACAGGCTCTCCCTGCCAGGGATTTCAAGTTCCAGCCATGCCTATACTACCACGATCCCTCAAACCCTCAAAGCCTCAATCACTGAACCCTAAACCCTAAACCGTGGGGCTCCCACTGTCCTAAATCCCACAGACCCTACATTGAAGCCGAGCCTTCTGACAAAACCTTGAGCCCTAGATCCTAAAATCTAAACTGGGCTCTTGTTAGGGAATTTAGCTTAAGTACCATGATAAGGAAACCGTGATATTTACTATAGGCCCCTAACTTACACCAAATTCCTTCACAAGAGCCCAGTAAAACACCCCGCCGCCCCCTTTCGTCTTGGCAAAAACTTCCGAGGCCTCGTTTGGAGATCTGCTTCAGCGCATATTTCTTGCCAGTTGCAGGATCTTGCTGCAAGATGACCTGCTCGGATCTGGGGTTTTAGGGTTTAGGGCTTTAGGGTTTTAGGGTGTAGGGTTTTAGGGTTTTAGGGTTTTAGGGTTTAGGGTTTTAGGGTTTTAGGGTTTAGGGTTTTAGGGTTTAGGGTTTTAGGGTTTAGGGTTTTAGGGTTTAGGGTTTTAGGGTTTAGGGTTTTAGGCTTTAGGGTTTAGGTGTCGGGGTTTAGCTCGTAGGGCTTGGAAGGCCTGCGGCATTCCTAAACCAAGTCTAGTCCTTTCAGTGACTGTAGTTTGGTGCTTTGGGGTTTGAGATTTAGGGCGTCGGGCTTCGGCTGGACCGACTCAAATCCTAAAGCCTAAATCCCAGACCACTACCAAAGGCATGCAAAACGCTCTCATAGAAGCGTAGACGATGGGTTTTGGGTTTAGAGTGTAAGGAATACGCTTCGGGTTTTTCGACTTGGGGCTGCAATGGGTGTCTCGAGCCATCGGAAAACACCCGAAGCAATCAACCCTGTACTTTACCTTGAATCGAAGCCTCAACCCTAAACCTCAACCCTAGACCTCAACCCTGAACCTCTAAACCCTAAACGCATACTCTGGAACCCTTATAGAACTCTATTGAACTTGTGTGTGTGCCGCGAGCCCACCTTGCCGAAGGAGCCCTGTCCCAAGACTTTGACGCACCTGTGGAGAAGCCCATGCAAACTCCTACAAGCTCTGTTTGGGTGCTAACATGGTTGTATATGGGTGCTGTAAGGGCTCTACTTTGTTCTGCAACGCTTCCATACAGGCTCAGCCAGGCTATGACACGGGCTCCACAAGGGGTTACCATGTAGTCTTTGGCTCTCGATTGAGCTGCCGGTGAGTTATTTATCAGGGTTCTACAATTTTTGACAGGGTGACTTCTTTGGAGACTGAGACACACACATCGATAGAAACGACAGGGATTTAGGATGCCGCTACCTCCTATCGCGAAGCAGGCCCACAAGAAGTTGAGAGCCTATGTTGACGCGCCAGTTCGGGATCCTTCAGGTTTGAACGTCCAGCTGACGCTTAGAGTCTCCTACTCCTGTAGATCCCGTGTGAAAAGATGCTCCTCGGGTTCTAAGGAGAGCTTGACGCTGAAGGAGGCTGAGAATACGATGACGGTGATGGTCTGTGATGGTGGTGATCTCAGGTAATGACTGTGAGGATTCCCTTAATGGGGTTCCTGTAAAGCACCCTTTGTAGTATAGGGCCCAAATTAGGGGATCTACTTTCTAGATCCTCCCGGGGGTCTGGTTGGCAGCGAGATGAACAAGGCGACGAGCAACTGCCGCTACCGCTTGTCACGGCAAACATCGTGCCCTCTTTGCAACTACCATCACAACCGCATGGAGACCCTCTTTCTGAAGCTCTTGTAGAAACACTGAAATCTGAAGAGACCCGTACCAAAACCCTCTAAACTCCGTTGTCCCTTCCCCTGAACCCTAAACCCTGAACCCTGAAACCCTAAAAACCTTAAAAACCCTAAAAGCCCCAAAAGCCCTAAAAGCCCGAAAAGCCCTATAAGCCCCCAAAGCCCCTAAACCCGGGAAGTCCAGGGCACTTGAGCGCCGAAGGGTCTACAGCATATCGCTCCTGCCATCCCGTGGGCTTCAGGGTGCAGACGTCCTGGCGGAGAGCGCCCTAAACCTTTTACCCTAAACCGCCCTTTTTGGGAGTAGGAGTTGGGAATTTCGGACCAGGGCTTCGGGTTTAGGGTTTGGGGAGTTTGGATTTGGGGATTTCCGGTTTGGGCTTTAGGGTGGCTTGGCATTTGTGCTGGGGAGACTGTAGAAGAAGCCTCTCTTGCAAATTGAGGCTTTAAGGACAGGGCGTGCCTGCCCATGCACTTGCAGATTGCCACCGCTACGACCCAACCACGTCTGCCCCTCTTCTCCACAGCGTATGCTCAAGGATCCCAAGTGGCAATTCCACAACATCCCGAAAAGGCGAGAGAGCATCTCAGAACAGTGAAGGAGAGAAGCTATTACGACCAATGATATTGCAGACCATGCCTGCGTTAAAAACAGTGACGACGTGCTTTGACCACAACGACTGAAGCAGCACCACTCCCGGATACAGTGTCCGGCCTGCTCCATGCACTCGAGCCCGGCAAAGGCATCCAAACCAAGACTCTTCAGGACCTCCGAACCAAAAAATATAGCAATGCTTGCTGGGGAAGGTGTTGGAGCTACCTGACTCCGAAAAAAACCCAATATTAAAAATGATCAGTAACTAATCACAACAATATACCGCTATTGTACTAAATCGTTTGCTATACCTAGAACTCGACAATAACGTAACTAAAAAGAAGCTAGTATCAATGATAATAACAAATCGTTTACCCTAATTAGAACCCTGTTCCAGGAAGGTTCCAAGCTTCAGCCTTTAGGAACCCAAATTTCGGGTCTCGCCTCGGGTGTTCGAGCTCGAAAACTCTTGTCACACAGAGGCCAACCCTCAACCATACATACATACATACATAGATAGATGGATAGGTAGACAGATAGGTAGATAGGTAAATGGATAGGCGATAAATAGATTATGCTTTGAAGCCGAAAACCTAAGTTCCCATTCTTCGGACGGGTCATACCAGAGCCACGTGGCTTGCAGTGGTTTTGGGGCTTCAAGGACTTAGCGTTGCAGGGGTTTAGGGTTTAGGATGTAAGGTTCGGGGTCTGCGGCTGGGGGCTTGGGAGGGCTTGGGTTGCCGGTTTTTCGGCTTTAGGTTTAGGGCTCAGGGTGCCCGAAGCTTTCGAAAACGCCAGGAGAAGAAAGCAAATCCGATCCACCTCGATGTCGATGCACAGGCATGTCAGGCCAGCAGCACCTGTACCACCGAGTTTATAATGCAGGGTAGGGGTTGAGGTTTGAGGTTCTCATAACGTTTACATACCGTTTTGAAAGGTTCCCATGAAAAAGTGGTTGAAAAAAGAGTTGATACCCCAAACTTTACACCCCGAACCTCAGACCCTAAACCCCAAGGGCCCAAATCAGAAAACAACGACCCCTCCCAACAAAGTCAACGAAACATAGTTATATTTTTTTAAAATCGCACCACGACCCCGCCATCCCCCAACCCCCTCAAAAAAATAGAGAAAACTCCGCCCCGAAAATGCGGGTCGCTCGGATGCCTGCGTTCACAGTGACGACGTTGCACTCCTCTGCGGGATCTCGAGAATTTCGGCTCTGGACTGTGCGATACCCAGAGATCCCAATACCCCTCAATAAAGGAATATACCTTGAATTATAGAGGCCGTAATATTCTGATTCGCTTTCTAAACACAATTCACAGGCATACATTAAGTTATAGAGGCCTTAATATTATGATTTAAGGTATATTCCTTAAGTAAGGGGTATTGGGATCTCTGCCTCAGGCGCCCTGTAAAGGGATCTATGAGGTCGGCCATATGGGTTCCTACAAGGGTTACTTTAGGCTTACCATAGTACTTCGGGGCTTTAGGGCTTTAGGATTTTGGGGCTTAGGGGTTTGAGAGTTAAGGGTTTAGGGCTTTCACGGTTTTGGGGTTTTAAGGCTTTAAGTTTTCAAGGTGTTTAGGGCTTGGTTTTCAAAAGCTAGTGTGGCAGAGCTTATTATTGGCTTAACCAAATTTTACAAGGTTCGTGGCTTCAGGCTTCTCTATGGCTTTCCTGGGTTCTTTCTCGGGGCTTGTAGGCATTTTCTGTGCTTGGCTTTTTGGTGTTTTGGGACAGCGAACTTGTGCTTGTAGGTTTGAGATGTAGCTTCTGAGCTTCTTCAGGTTCTAGAGTAGAGGGTGCCAATCAGTACAATATTGTCAAATTACTGTTATTCTTATCAAACTCGTGCTGTGATTAGCTTTGTTCTGTTTGAGTAACCCTAGATATCCCAGTTTGGCTACTGTCGCCGGTTTACGGTTAAGGTGTTTAGGGTTTAGGAGGTTTGGGTTTCGGAGTTTCAGGTTTGGGGCCCGGTTTCGGGGAGTCTTGAAGCTGTCCTCCCCGCGCCACAGGGAGCGCTCACCGAAGTGGTCCCCCCGCCGGAGTTCGCGGAGGAACTTCCTTGATCCGGTGTTTAGGATTTAGGGTTTAGGGTTTCGGGTTTAGGGTTGTCGGCTTTAGGGACGATTTTGGGCGAAAGAAGCTCCATGAGGGCTCCGAAGGAGTTGTATTCGGGTAGAGTCGGGCTCCTATATGGGCTGTAGAAGTTCATAGGCAATCTACAAAGCTCGGAGTGCGGGATTGATTTTCAACTTGAGGGCTTGTTGTTACGGCATGCCTCAAGGCTAAGCGTTTAGGTTTCGTGGCTTCATGTGCTTCACAACACCAACAAACCCTTTCCGACCCCTCTTGCAGCTCTTTCCCCGTTCTTTGCTCGTTGCGTCTCACGGACTCCCCAATATGGGAGTTTCCGAAAATTATGGGTACTTGATTTGGGGATCCTTTTCACAAAGATCCTACTATTTAGGGTACTACACTAGGGTCCCTATTTTCGGAATCCCTAAACCCTAAATCCCAAATATGTCCATCAAGCGACCCACCTTTGGAGACGCGCGCGCTGCCGCTCGCGACGATGTACCACTGCGGCGTCTTGCGAACTTTGCCTTCCTTACTCAGCCAAGGACTTCTCCACTTATGGTTGGAATCTGTATGCGGGGGGCAGACTACAAATAAACTAGGACTAGGACTATAAGGGGATACTATTACTACTACTGGTGGTTCAGACCTGCTTGTGAGCTCCTTTGCGGGGCTTGATGTCCCTCGCCGGTGAGCTCAGTGCAATTCAGAAGCTCAGGTTTAGGGCTTGGGTTTGATGTTTACAGCTTCGTGTTTATATATTGTGGAATACTTCTCGAACACTACACTAAGTTTTTGCAACATCACAAGCAAGCTCTGAAGCTCTGTGACGAGGCTCGGTGAGAATGCAGTGGCCTGCCTTGAAGGTCACTTCGCGCGTCGCATTCCTTGCGAGATCCTTCCTGGTGCAAGAATTGAGTGTAAGGTTTAGGGTTTAAGGCATAGGGAGTTTAGATTTTAGAGGGAGCCGCACAACCCTAAACCCTGAACAATTCCGGGCCTCGGCCCGCATCGGAAGCACTCACCCCGCGAACACCAAGCGGCAAAGGGTCAACTTGAAGCCACGCAGAACAACACAAAGGTGCCGAGCTCCCGGGACTCCGAAGATTTCGGATTTCGGGTTTAGGGTTGGTGCACTTGCAGATTCATGGGTAGTTCGGAATTATAGTTACACCTTCTGCCGATGTGGTTACAAATAGCCAGCAAGTTTTGTTGTTACTGATGTGGGCTTCGATTTGGAGTCGAGTCTCGGGCATTGGTAGATTTTTCGGCGAACGGCTGAGACTGTACGGATCAAGGTAACATAGGAATACAGGGGCCGAAATATTATTGGTAATTATTTGGGCCCCTATAGTAATGCTATTCCCTATGGCTCCTCATCACAAAGAGTATATACCCCCAGGCCCAAACCTATTCTAACTACCCAGGCCCCGACATCTGTCTGGTTCTCAGTAGGGAGTGGGGGCATGGATTATGGAGACTACTAATTGGGGATTATATGGGGACTACTATAGGGATCCATTCTCCCATTCCCTACTAAGCACCAGACAGTCATTACAGGATCCCAATCCCTAAACCCTAAACCCTAAACCCTCCTCTTCCCAGACCGCTCCTTTCAGAATCCAGCAGGGAACTGAGAACGCGGACCTCGGCCAACAGCGCCCCGTACTTCCTCAGCCAGGAAGGACTCAGGTCTTCAGAGAGATCCAGGGGTCTAGGTTGGAAGCTGCCCCCACCCTGTAGTGACTACAAGGATTATATAGGATTATATTACGGCCCTGTTGTATTCCTATTATACCACTATTACAGGGTGGGGGCAGCTTCTAAGGTCTAGGGCAACTCTTAGGGGAGGGTTTCGGGCTCAGCATTTACAGCTTCTGGCGGCTTAGGGCTTACGCATCGCAGGAAGGATCTACCGGGAGGGAAAGGTAGATTTCTCGAAGTCAGAACACGAAGCTCTTACATTAAGCTTCGAGTCTAAACTTTACCACCGAACCTTTAAGCCCTGGTTCGAAAACTGCAGACCATTGAAACTTAAATCGGGTCTGCTTGGGGTAAGGGTATTCCCACTTCTACTTTTTCAATATTATGTGCGATTGTACCCTCGTCTTGGCTCTTCCGAGGTATCCTATGTATAGCTTATCCGTCTTGTAGCCAAGGGTTTAGAATCTAGGTGTATGCACACCAAGCGTCTCAGCCTCCGCCCTTTCGGCTTGCCTCCAGTGTTGCAGGGCCGGTCGGTTCAGGGTCCAGTAAAAAGGTAACCGGTTTGGCGGATGGAATGCGTGTTTAGGGTTTGGGGAGAGAAACTCTGCATATAAACGAAACACACAATACATTCGATGACACTAGAGTCACTAGAGTGGCCACCGCAGCTGGACCTGACTCGAAATGAAGAGGGAACAAGCATCTATGTCAGGCTGTCAAGATGAGCTGACGCCCTAAACCCTAAAGCCTAAGCGCTGACTGCGAATATCGGGTCTTTCAAAACGACCCTGTCTTGGTGCTCCGAAAGCCACACAAACCCCCAACGCCAAAACCTGAAGCCTAAATCCTAAACCCCACACCCCAAACCCCCCTGGTCTTCAGGCCTGAAAAGGCACTCCTTGAAATCGGAGCGGTTGATGGCATACAGCAGCCTTGGGCTGACGGACGATGAAGCTTTTCGGGGTGTCTGGGGTTCTCTGCTTCGCGATACTTTCGCGAGGTGGATCTCGCATGGTCAAACAACCTGAGCCAATGATGAGCAGCTTGCCCGTCTGCGGACTGCGCTTGACGATTGCTTCTATGTGTTGGACGTGCCGCGATGTCGGCGCACTGGTCCCACGGTGTGACTGTTGCAGCAGACCAGACGCGGAGTTCTTTGTCGTTGGGGAATGCGATGGCTGTAAAGGACTTGTAGACCGTTGCACTACTCACATTCATTCGTCCGATCTCGACGATGAAGAGCTTTGAGCTGACATAATCGCAACAGCATCGCTGGTTGTTATGCTACTTGGCACGGCTGACTTAGCAGAGCTGGCTGTTGCAAGATCTTTTGCTGCAGCCTTTGAGCTCGCTGTGGCATGGTGGGCCACAAATACCACATGTCACATCAGGTATAGAGTGGATGTTGAGTATGGGTTCGCGAATTCGCCACTTTTGGGTTTACGAACTCGCGCCGCCTTTTTTCTGGCTGGCTTGGGAGCCCTTTGAAAAGCCCATATGGGCTACTCCACCCATCCCTCGCGGTAAACATCTGCTTTTGGGGAGCTTTTGATTGGGTGCAAGTCGCCGCGTCCGACTGGGACTCCATGCGTTCACACAACGGCAAAGGTGTCCGGGGTCGGGTTTACGGCCTTGCGGTTTAAGGCCTTGGTACGGCCTCGGGGCCTTAGGGTTTAGGGCATTGAGGTTTCGGGTTCAGGGAGTTCGCGACCTTACTTCCAGGATTCTTTCTTAGTGCTTCGGAGCTTGGCTGAAGATCGCAGCCTGGCAGACCCTGCCCGGGAGTCAGGGATGAGGCTCAGGGGTTTAGGGAACGACCCAGAAACAGCCACCAGCCACAAGGCCCCGATTCAACAGCTTCGGTTTAGGGTTCAGGGGTTTTAGGGTCTTGGGCTTGGGGGTTTAGGGTACCTGAAGATCACTGCAGCTTCGGTTTAGGGTTTGGGGGTTTAGGGTCTTGGGCTTGGGGTTTAGGGCACCTGAAGATCACTGCCACAATTACAAACACAACTAGGACTTAGTCTGTCCTTCTGAACGGAATCATTCGATCGGTTCTTTGTCATGGTTGCATGGTTTAACCTCACCACCCAGACCCAAAATCCTAAGCCCACATTGCTTACAGTTCAGAATGTTTGTGGATTTGGGTTTGGGATTCCGGGCTGGCTCTTTATCGTATATAGTATAATGGTTCAGTATCCGGTTTAGGGTTCAGGGTGTTAGTCATGGTTTAGTTCAGACGCTTCATGGACGCTACAGCCTCGCAACCTAACCCTACATTAGCCCTTTTTAGTAAGCCTTATAGAAACCAGATAGTAGCCCCCATGATTGGGTTAGAGTTTAGGGTGTACTGGCAGGGTTTCGGGCTGAGAGATTTTAGACTACGATAGTGCGACGTATCAGCATGCATTGCCTAAACCCTAAACCCTAAACCCTCATCATAGTTGCTATTACAGCCACGATGAAAGCTGAAAAGCGCGCTCTGCTTGCGCCAAAGTGACACCTCATGTTCGGCTCCGGCACGGAAGGTGGCAAGATGGCGAGTGTTGTAAAGGAGGGACACCTGCTCAGCCAGGCTGGAAGTTGGGGCGTTTCGAACATTCGGGGTACCTTATTCTGGGGTCCTTATAATAAGGATCCTACTGAAACTCCCATATGGATGCTTCTTGAACATACGAGTTCGTTGTATGGGCTTGTATTTTCAGGATTCTGCTATTCGGTGTCTATAGTACAGGTCCCTCATTATCCGAAAACCCCACACACCTTTAGAGTCTATGCTTCAGGGTGCCCATGCCACTAAGCCTACGGAACCTGAACCTGCAAGTCGATAGTATCGGAGCCTTCATATCCTGCATACTACCTATAGAAATCCGAATTTATATATGTTTTTAAATTCTACACACACACACACACACACGCACGCACATATGTGCACGCACTAGAATATACCACAAGGCTTCAAGGACCAAAAACAATAAAAGTATTATTGACCCTTCAAACCTAAGCTTCTGAATCTTTCTGGTCCTCGGCATGTCCCCAGTCTCGGAGTCCCTCGATTCGCATAACCCGCAAGCCCAAACCCTGAACCTCGACCCTAAAATCCAAAGCGATAGGGGAGCCCGTAGACGCACACCCTGAAAAGAACCCCTGAAAGGAAACTCCAACATACTGGTAGTTATAAATGGGCTTATAAGTCCCCTAATAGGAGTTATAACTTATACTTACCCTACTTATAGCCCCACTTATAACTACCCATGAACCTCCAAGTAGGATCCTGTAGTTGTTTTCAAGGGCCCTATTATAGACCCCGAAGGGTTTTTTGAAGGGAGCCCCATGAGAGAAACCCCATGTAAATCCTTAAGGGAATCCGTAGATTTTGAAAAGCCCTTAAAGGGGCCCTTTAAGGGTTCCTTGAAGGGGCCTTTTCCTTAAGAGGGTTCCATTTTAAAAAAGATCCATAAGGGTTCCTTTAAGGGCGCCTTCATGGGATCTGTAGGGGTTCCTCTAAGGGCTCCCTCGGCCTCGCCAAAGACGTCACCGGCCTGGAGTTCCACCTTCGCCTGGAGCTCTCGGCACTTTGGGCTTTAGGGTTTGAGGCCTTAGGGCCTAAGCAGAAACCCCGATGATCGGGCAACAACTGCCTGAAACACCAGTTCTCAGCTTCCAACCTTCAATTTTCTTCATTTGCAGGTCTTTTTGGATATATAGCCAATAGCAAGATTAGCCAACCAAAACAAAACACACTAGAGAGTACGGGGGCTAGGCCATGAAAGTGCCGCGTGGGGTGAGGATGGAGTCGTCAAGTCCATTACCGCTGATAGAATAGAACCACAAGCAGAACAAAGACACAAGCATACAGTTGATGTTCAACAATCAATAGGAAGACCATCCGCTTCACATCCTCATGGGAACCACTATCGACGCATCGGGGTACCCACAGGCATCTGCGGTCAAACTCAGAAACTCACATGCGCACGATCACAAGTTGAAGACTGAAGTTAAGTGCGCTCGGAATCGAAAAAACTTCACACAAGAACAGAATTTCGATCACAGAAGTCAATGCCAGGAACCTCCACAGAGCTCGGGCTTCATTCGTCTTTTCGGATGTATGAACTGTGCAGACTAATTATGCGTACAGCAGAGACTTACAACATAAGTTGAGTAATGGTTTCTCTCGAAGTCTGCGAATGCTAAGAAAGCTGAAAAATGTCTACTTAAAAGCGAATTGTGCTCAACTTCCATGGTTAGACCCTTTAGTGTTTTGGGGCAACTGCAAGCGACCTGATGGCCTCAAAGCAAATACTGCTCAACTTCCATGCTTCGGCACTTCAGTGGTGGTTAGGGCTTTGGGATTTAGGGTTTGGGGTTTAGGGTTTAGGGTTTTAGGGTTTTAGGCTTTGGGTTTTCGGGTTTCAGTGCTTTGGGATTTAGGGTTTCGGATTAAAGGCTTAGAGTTTCGAGGCTTTGGCGTTTGCTTTCTGGCAGTTGTGTCTCTGTGTCTTTTTTGTGGGTAAGTTCCTACTCTTTTTGATTTATTCTTTGGCGTTTTTGGTGAACTACCACAGCTTGCAGAGCCACAAAGCCCAATCAAGAAACTCGCACGAATAAACCGAACCACCCAATCCTAAACCTCAACAAACCCTAAACCGCAAATCCCAAGTCCCACACCCGAAACCCTGTACCCTAAACCCTAAACCCGAAACCAAAAAAACACGAAAGCTCTGAACCGCCCCAGCCGTGTCAAAGCTGAGGAAACCGCCTCGTCCCTTGCTAAGCTGAGGTCGCTGTTGTTGTAGATGTTCACGCCCTTCCTTGGGGTTTCTAGCTTTGGTTGTTTTTTTGATTCAGGCTTCAGGATCTAAGGTCATGCCTTTCCTTGGGTTTCCATGTTTGGTTGTGGTTTGATTTAGCTTTAAGCGCTTGAGGATCAGGGTATAGGGTTTTAACGGTTTTGTAGAGGTTCATGCTTTCCTTGGTAAGTCTCTGAAGGCTTCTATGACGGTACTATCGTTGCAGACGTTCACGCTTTTCCTCGGAGCGTCTTGGGCTCCAGGGTGTTAATAAAGGAGCCTTAATCATTTAAACAGGTTTTGGGCGAAGTTATACTATAAATACAATAAGGAACCGCCAAAACAATATTGGTAATTATTGAGGCCCCTAAATTATTATTCACGGACATCTGTCGGTCAGAGAAGCGAGTCGAACGAGCCTGGTGGCGCTTTGGCCAATCTCAGAACTTACTTAGAATGGTTTCAAGACCAGCAATGATAGCTTCAGCTTCACGAAGCCACAGCCTACAGGTGTCAGCAGGCAAAAGCTGGGGCTTTCTGCAAGTGCGCAAGATTTTGTTGCGCTGATGGATGAAGTTGATGCCTGTCGAGCACAGGAAGCACGACGGAAACGACTCACCCCAGACAGGCCTATGAATGTGCGACAACCCTGCAGATTGCTCGCTGAGAACGGAGTGTCGAGCAATTACTTGACGAAGTTGCTTAAAGTAGTTGAGATGGCACTGAAATTGACCCCTAGCAGCTTTGGTAGGCTCAATTTTGAGGCCCCTATATTAAGCGTTTCGGGCCGTAGGGTTTTGAGGCTTGCAGCTTTGACTTGCGGGCCCCCGCCGGATCCCGGATTCGGGTCCCCAAACCCTAAACTGTCCTAAACCCTCAACCCTACCCCGACCCGAGTGGCTGTAGGGCTCGGGGGTTGCGGGAGTTGCACCGCATCAGCTCCGTTCCCTCTTGGGGTGGTTTCGCCTCTCAGGAAACCTATGGGTTCAGGCTTTGATGTCTTTGTGCCCTTGAAAGCCTGCGCGTTCACTGTCAAATCATTGTTTCAAGAATTGCAGTAGAAGATGGTTTTTTGGATGTGTGTTACAGTGAAAAAACATTGGTAAGGAACCCTGAGGAAGAGCATTGGTAATTATTGAGGCTTCTATGCCCTAAACCCTCCTTACATAACCCTGAAAGAACTTTGTAAGAAGCCTATGGAATGGCAATAAATGCGATACCCGTTGCTTGCGGCCTTGGGTCGAGGGAAAGGAGACCACCACACGGGAATGATCCAGAATGGCCTGTGCGCTCCAACATCGCAGCATCCGGATTTCACTAGTTTGCATTATTCAACTATTGAACCAAGTTAGACGAGTCCATTTGTATTTATTGGTCAAACACTGAGTTACTAGTTATACAAACTCAGCTCATTATCATCAGATTTCTGCCATCCGTACTATCCCCATCGTCCTCAGCATTCTAGTCCTCGTCGAACTAGTTCGTCATCGTAACCAGCCTCTTATTACGCTTGCCTCTCAGCATAGACTATACAATCACAGTGCTCGCCCCGGTCACCCTCATCCCAATCATCTTCTTCTTCATGCGTTATCGTAATCATCATCAGGAGCAGCCACATCAAGCTCATAGTTTTCTTCAGCATCATCAGCCTCATCATCATTCTCTTCTGTTCACCACCATCATCATCACCATCAACATCATCATCAGCAGCAGCATCCTCATCTTCAGGATCAGAGTCGTCCCAGTCACCCTCATCAGATTCATCATCATCAACGTCGTCATCATCATAACCCTCATCATCATCACCACCACCATCCAACAATAGTAGCAGTATCAATATCATCAGCATCATGCTGTCGTCGTCCTCATCACGAGCATAACCTTCCGCGTCATCAGCACCATTCATCATCCCCATCAACATCAACATCATCATCACCCAGCATCATGTATCAGAACCGCCATGTGCATATAAACTATCATCATCAGCAGAATCCTCCCAGCAACCTCTCAGGGCAATCATCACCCCTGCAGTGGCTATCCACAAAATCAAAACACGCCATCACCAGCTAAACAACTATAAGACATGATTCCTTCCCCCCCCCCCCTCACCTCTGCCCCGCCGATGGCGGGCCCTGGTCTCGCCTCCACACGGCCCACCTCCCCGTCGAGGTCGTTTCCGGCGTTGGAGGACTTCCGGCGTGCGAGGTCCGAGCCTGGTCTCCATGTTTCTCGCCTTACCTTCTTTGGTAGAAAAGTCAAGAGGCAGACCAATAAGAATAGCACAAGGGAGATCGTCGGACAGTAGCAGTAGTAGAACAGTAGTAGTCGTCGTCGTAGTACTAGTACTGGTCCCAGTACTGATAGCAGCAGCAGCAGCAGTAGCAGTAGTCGTCGTCGTTGTCGTCGTGGTCGTGGCAGTAGCAGTAGCAGTAGCAGTAGCAGGCAGTAGCAGTAGCAGTAGCAGTAGCAGTAGCAGTAGCAGTAGCAGGAGCAGGAGCAGGAGCAGGAGCAGCAGCAGCAGCAGCAGCGGCAGCGGCAGCAGGAGCAGGAGCAGGAGCAGGAGCAGGAGCAGGAGCAGGAGCAGGAGCAGGAGCAGGAGCAATAGCAGTAGCAGTAGCAGTAGCAGTAGCAGTAGCAGTAAGCAGGAGCAGTAGGAGTAGGAGTAGCAGTAGCAGTAGCAGTAGCAGTAGCAGTAGCAGTAGCAGTAGTAGTAATTAGTAGTAGTAGCAGTAGTAGTAGTAGCGGCAGTGGCTCTGGCACTTCTACAGACTCTGACAGTACTAATGACCACAAGAATAGCGACAAATACCAATATTGAATAGGTAGTATGAATGATAAGCTAAACTTAGTGCCTGCCGATGTTCTTAACGTCGCCACCCAGATGTCGCCGTTGATGCTGGAGCCGAAATCCTAAACACCCCACACAGCCCTTCTAATAGTGCCTTTCCAATATGTAAACCCTTATGCAGGGGGACCTCGGAAAGTGGCTGCAGAGAGGTACTTCTTCTCCCGCACGCGTTCACCGACGTACAGCAGCTGCTCCCCTGCGAAGTTCATGGTGTTCACTCGAAAAATCCGCCGCTTGTCCTGCAAAACGACAAACATCGATCGGGTGTCGGCTTTAGGGTTTAGGGTTTAGGGTTCAGGGTTCAGCAGCTCTGGTCAAGCAAGAGTTCGCTACATGGAATAATACCCACCCCCCCAGAGAATCCCCAAACATTCAAAAATACAAAGTTTTATCAAGGCCTCAACAAAGCCTCAAGGATCTAACCACAAAAGTTGAAAAAATGTTGTAAGCAGTGCAGCTAGCTGAAAGCAGTCTCTAAAGCCTCAAGGGTATCACCACAAAAGTTGAAAAAAATTGGTTGTAAGCAAGGCAGGTAGCTGAGAGCAGTCTCTACTGTACGCTACTTGCGCTGCTGAGACCTGACAAGGCTTCAACTTTTGCGGTTAAACCTTTGAGGCTTTAGCGACCACTGCAAACTATTGGCTCTGCTGAGCACCGTCAAATTCTCAACTTGCGCGGTTAGACTTTTGAGGCTTTAATGACTACTGTAAGCTACTGGCTCTGCTGAAGACCCAGTAATTCTCAACTTTTGCGGTTAGACCTTTGAAGCATTAAGGACTACTGTAAGCTACTGGCTCTGCTGAAGACCCAGTAATTCTCAACTTTTCCTTTGAAGCTTTAAGGACTACTGTAGGCTACTGGCTCTGCTGAAGATCCAGAAATTTTCAACTTTTGCGGTTAGAACTTTAGGGCTTCAGAGACTACTGTAAGCTACTGGGGCTTTACAGACTACTGTAAGCTACTGGCTCTGCTGAAAACCCGCAATTTTTCAATTTTTTCCGGTTAGACCTTTGGGGCTTTAGCGATTACTGTAATCAACTTGATGTGCTGCAGACCCAGCAATTTTCAACTTTTGCGGCTAGACCTTTAAAGCTTTACAGACTAAGTTAAGATACTTGCACTGCTGGAGACCCAGAAATTTTCAACTTTTGCGGGTAGAACTATTGAGGCTTCAAGGACAAATGTAAGCTACTTGCTCTGCAAAAGACCCACAAATTTTCAACTTTTGCGGGTAGAACTTTTGAGGCTTTACAGACTCTGTATGCTACTGGCTTGCTGAAGACCCACAAACTTTCAACTTTTGCGGTTAGACGTTTGGGGCTTTACAGACTACTGTAAGCTACTGGCTCTGCTGAAGACCCTTGGACATTACCATCGTCAGGGCATTAATGCTCTGGCCATGGATATGCTACCATGGTAGCATGGACATTACCATCGTTCGGGCATGGATGCTCGTCATTACCCATTGAAGCCAAGAATCTTTCGGTCCGCGGCCTGACAAAAAGGCACAAGCATCCTGACACCGAGGAAAACGTTCTGTTGGAGACACGCACCGTTGTGCCCCGTTTCTGGGCGGTACCCTCCTGTGCAGAGCAGAGTTTAGGGGTTATGGGTTTGGGAGTTTAAGGTTCAGGATTTAGGAGCAAGGCCTTTAAGGGCTTTGGGGCTATATAAGGATGGGTTTATGAGAAGTGGTGCTTAAGGTTTCGAGCTTTTACTGGCTTACGGTTTAGGGTTTAAGGGAATTACATTGCTGCAGTGTTTCAAGCATGGCAAAAGGCTGGTATTTCCAAAATAGAAGAAGTCCGTCATTCGAGCACTCGGCCCCGACACGCTGCACCCGGGAAGAATGAAAATTTTGAGGACACATTATGCTGAATCTGTTAATACAGTTCCAGCCTTCTTGCTGAGACTGTTCTGATTAAACAGTTTACAGTCATATTGAAGCTAGTAAACTTGGTGGTTTCTGTGAGTTTCAATGCAAATGCATGGCACATCAGAGCTGAAGCTTGAAACCTAGAATGCTATAGAAACCCTTACAGTAACGAGTAGTTGGCCCTGGTGACCGACCCCTTCCAATCGAGATTTGGTGCCATACAACCCCCACCGCGCGGCCACAGTCTCCACCAGAAACGGCTTGCTGGGTGGTTTGAAGACGGCCTTGTTCTGCCAAGTATTGCCTAGCACCCCTTTATCTACAACAATCTACGAAGACATAATCCCGTTAAAACCAGAATACTCATGTTAAGTGTTGCCTAACACCCCTTGTCTACAACATTCTATAACGATATAAACCCATTAAAACCGAAATAATCATGTTAAGTATTGTCCAACACCTCTTCACTACAACGACATAAACCCCACAACACCAGAATAATCATGCTAAGTGTTGCTTAAGACTTCTTGGCTACAAAGGCATAAGCCTGTTAAACTCCGGATAGTCATGCTACGTATTGCCAAATGCCGAAGCCTAAACCGAAAAAAAACTGAAATATTTCTCTGTTGCGTCTCGCCAAGGCACCTGGAATAGGGGAGGGGAGCTTGAGGATTAGAGCTTTTCCTAAACAGATGCTCATGATGTTATACTGGAGGGTTTTAGCACGGCGCTTTTTCCTTCTCTCATATGCACGTCCTGCCGTCCTACTTTCGCAGGAGTGAAACTTCTGGCACTTCCTCCGTATATTGCAGTGCATTCTGAATATTCGGCAAAGTAATATTGACATAGGCCGGCAAGTCAGCACAAAACTCTCTGCAAAAGCCCGAGCATGTGCTACGACTCCAGCCCTTGCGCGCAAGGTGACGCTCACACACATTGCCATTTCCTAGCATTACCTTCAGTACGATGCCACAACACGTTGCAGCACACACGCTTCTATGCCTACCTGCCATGCACTTGAACACGAAATCACGTTCATGCCTACGCAAGCCTAACGTGAGCGCTCAAAGATTCAGGATGCGAGACTCCTGGGCATCTTGGTTCTTGGTTCCACGGGCCTGGCTGCAATAAAAATCTATTTTTTTAATGCAGATTTTAATGCAGCCCGGCCGGTGCCCGTGGAACCTAGATTCAGGATTTAAGATTTCTGGGCATCTTGGTTCTTGGTTCCACGGGCCGGGCTGCATTAAAATTTAATCTTTCAATGCTGGTTTTAATGCAGCCGGGCATCTGGTATAGTCATGTTCGTATACACTAATCTTCGTATACCCTAGTCCATGTTGCATGTGTGTGCGTGTGTGTGTGTGTGTGTGTGTGTGCATGTGTGTGCATGGGTAATGAAGTGTGGTATCATATATGTAGACAGGCTGGTTCGGAGGTAGGTCCTGGGGGGGTGCCATGCATATATATATATGCACATTATCAACATGTATATATGTAGATGTTCACGTTCATGTACATGTATATGTATATGTATATGTATAAGCATATACGCTCCCTGTTCCGGGTCAGGGAGCAGCGGTCGCTCCGAGCAAACTTGAAGGCTCCACACTCTTTGGGGTTTAGGGTTTTGGGGATTAGGGGGATGAGTTGTGATTCAAGTGGCGCTGCTTCGTAGTTTAGCTTGACAGCCCCTGGTTTTGGGGGGGGGGTTGAGGTTTAGGGTTTGAGTTCAACTTTTTGTGTTTGTGTGTGTGTGTGACTGTGTGCGCTCCTGGGTTGAGGGTGGAATTCCGCTCGTACGCTGTTGCCCCAAGTTTCAAGAAACGAACAGGTGAATGGTAAGCCAAACCATGCATGCCGGAGGTTGTAGGTTTATATAGGCCGAAGCAATTACTGACTATCCCGAAGAGCTCGTGAATATATGGATAGAATGAAATGAAACTAGGGTCTAGTATTTGGGACCTCAAGGCTTCGGCTGTAGGGGGGTTGGGTTCTGGCGGTATGAGTTGTGAGCGAGAGGAATCCCTTTACGCTAGACCCACGCAATCCACTGATTGAAAAGCATCTTGCCCAAGAAACAACAGCCCAATCGCTCCAAAACCCATGGACCCCACAATTCTCTAAACCGTAAACCCACAATACCCTTAATCCTAATCCCTAAAGCCGTAAACCCTCCCTAAACCCCCCTATCTTTTACCCCAAACCCTAATCCCTCAAGTCTCAAGCCAAGCCCTAAACCCCAAACCCCCAAATCGTTTGCCGTAGTAGACCGGCTTTAGAGACTACTGTAAGCTACTTGCTCTGCGTTTAGACCTTTGAGGCACCCTCAAGCCCAACCCCTCGGCCCAAAACCCTGAAACCAAAGCCAAACCCTAGGCCAAAGCCCAAAACCCTAGGTGCGTGAAACCAGTGATCCCTGAGTACAGATACCGACATTCTGACGACCACAGGCTGTTTTGGCTGTAAGGAAAAGGATCTGGAGGCCCATTCGGTGGGGTTTCTTTCATTCGTAAGCCGGTAAACTTTCTTGAAATTATCGGGTTCACATCATTCGGATTCTATACTTCACGCAGGTTATCAGCCGTAGCGGCTCTAGTTTGGGTGTTGTTCAGGGCTAGCAGAGTGTCCGTAGTCGGCAGCGGATGGAGTCAGTCTCGAGGAGGCGACGGAATCCTCCCGCTGTCGAGCCGGAAACTGTAGCTTTGGAAAGAGACCAACAATATTCAACAGCCTTGAGTCAAGCTGGAGGTGACTTAGGTGTGCCACAAGGTTTGCTGAACGCTGATGCGTCCCCTGGCGCGCTGGAATCAGGATTGGCGGCCAGTGGGGCAGGAGCAGAAGCTGGAGCAGCTTCCGGAGGTATCGCCGCGGAGCCACTTCCAGTGGCCCATCCCTTTCACAGTGACTATGTTCGAACGGAAGTTGAACTGTTGCGTAGCAGACCTCTAACTCTGGATGCAGATGCCAAGAGACTGGGTTCGGAGGTTGATGATAGTGGTCTTGGTGATCGGGATTTTGGAGAGGGCTCGAGGGAGCCTGACTATTCCAAGTCCTTTGGGATGCAAGGGGCACCGAGAGTGGCCAGGGTTGAACCCAGCTCGGAAGAAGCTCTGGGAGGGACAACGTTGGATCAGCAGGCGCCCGAAGAGATGAAGTTGAAGGCTAGCTCACCTAGCGGGAAGGGGCGTGGAACTACGAGCTCTTCGACTGGTGAGGGTTTGGTGAGAACTACGGCGTTGGGCCCTGAAGTTTTGGGTCCAGTGGCGGAAGATAACAGGGAGTTAGTCCCAGATGCTGGGAATGTAGAGGGGGATAGGTTACAGCGGATGGAATATTTGCTTAATCAGTTTATGGAGGAAA